TTCTAAGGAGAGTCTTAGCCTACTTGAGGTTGAAAGCAGGATGACCCCTTATTTCTCTTTGTCTTGACTGGGAAGAACATGGGTATTGTTTATCGAAGTTCAGTCAGGTTTCTTGAAGTCATGGGTTGTTGTCTTTCCCTCAGGAAAATCCTTAGCCTCTGCCATATTCTCTTTCCTTCTGGGGCTCCACTTAGACATACGTTAGACCTTCTCACTTCATCCGCTACATTTCTATTCAGTGTTTTCCATGTTTTTATACTTTCGTGCTACATTCTGTAAAATGTCTTCTGATCTACAATTCACTAATTTTTTCATTGATATGTCTACCTATTGAAGTTTTAATTCTGGTTTATTTATTGTAATTATATATTATATAGCAATACTTATTATTTTGGCTACTACTACTAGATATTCTATTTGGTTATTTTACCAATCTGTTAGGTCACTTTTTAAAAAATATTCTCTGGAAGGGGCACCTGGGTGGCTCAGTCGGTTGAGCATCTGACTCTTGATTTGGGCTCAGGCCATGATCTCAGGGTCTTGAAATCAAGCCCCATGTCCGGCTCCACACTCAGCAGGGAGTCTGCTTGAGATTCTCACTTTCCTTCTCCCTTTGTCCCTCCCCCCTGCTCTCTCTCTCTCTCTCTCTCACAGATAAATAAATAAAATCTTGTAAAAAATAGTCTCCAGAAGATTCTCTCAGACTTTCCTTACATGGTAAACTTATTTGTTGCTTTGTAGTTTCTGTTGGGACTGTCACTGCTCTCAGTTATTTTTACTAGTTCTTGCTCATACTACCTCGTTTCTATGTGAACAACATTTTCTTAGAATTTATGCTGCTCATTGCCCTTGAAAGTGATTCACAGGGACTCTTTGAAGCCTAGGATGAAATTGTCTTCCTCTAGAAGGGATTTGCATTTGATTTTGCCAGTGTCCTAGAGACTTGTCTAGCTTGGGACCTCCTTAAACCAGGCGTAAGATTAACTTAAGATCTCATGTCACCTATTCACTTCCCTTACCCCTTTTCTAGGCTTACAGTTTTTTTTTTTTTAAACAGGGACATATTTTTTTGATCATCACACATGGACAGTGTAGTCCTCAGCATATGATGAATGACTGGTGAATTTTAGTTGAATGCATAAATCTTTAAATTATCATCCCTACTTTGTTAATGTATTCTGTCCTTATTTTCAGTTGGTCAGTTAAAAGGATTACTATTTTGAATATCATTTCCAGTCCTTTCTTCAAGGTGTTGCTGCATCTTCTCTCTCTCCTTCATAAATTCCCCAAGTTCTGTGCCATACAGGAAGTGGTTACCTGGTCAGTATTTGCTTCTAGGCTAGGACTTGCCATACTTCCCATGCTTCTGCCCATAAGTGGATCAAACCATACATTTCTGGGATTCCTCATGCTTTCCATAGGTATTTTGAGTACAGCTCCGGGTACCTTTGACAGTAACTCCCCATGGCTCTGTAATTAGTGGGTCTACCTCTGCTGTCTTTTCTCTTTAGTACACCTGATCTTACTTTGCCAGAGTTCTCTCTATAGCAAACCTCTGATTCTGTCATTGCCTCACTCATAGACCAAGACCACTATGGATATCACCACTGCCTACGGAATAAAGTCCACACCTCTTAGCTTGTCATTTTTGCCTCCGTTATTGAGGTGCGGTAGCCAGATTTCATTAAAGAATGTGATCTCTGGGAAGTCAGACTCTAGCTCCACCACTTACCAGCCACATAAGTTAAACTTCTGTGCATGATTGTGCTGTGCATAAAATAATGCTAGCCTTGGAAAGGATAATATATGTAAAGTTTCTGGTGTCCATCAGAATAAGAATAGCCTTCCACGACATTTCTTTTTAGCAGAGTCTGAAAGGAATAGCAACTTACTCTTTCATTGCTTGTGGATATGTGGATATTCAGAAAGTGAAAGATCCCTTACCCATTTTTTCTCTGGACCTTCGTTGTCTTATAAATATGGTGGTGCCTTGAATAGTCATTTTGAAGCTAAAATGTGGAAAGACATGTTAAGTTCCTGGTTCCATACATTGTTAGGTATATAAGAAATGTTGGTTCTTTATTCCCCTTCAAACTGAGGCCCAACTTTCCTTTCTTTTTTTCTTTTCTTTTCTTTTTTTTTTTTTTTAAGATTTTATTTACTTATTTGACAGGCAGAGATCACAAGTAGGCAGAGAGGCAGGCAGAGAGAGAGGAGGAAGCAGGCTCCCCCTGAGCAGGGAGCCCGACGTGGGGCTCAATCCCAGGACCCTGGGATTATGACGCGAGCTGAAGGCAGTGGCTTTAACCCACTGAGCCACCCAGGCGCCCCCAACTTTCCTTTCTTATGGGATGCAATATGATCTGTAAATCAGAGTATATTATATAAAAGAGGGACTGTTATTCCTATCTCTACTTTTTAAATCCTTTCTACCCTTTAAGGCCAAGTTCAAATGACACCTGCTTCATGAAGCATCTCTGCGTTCCCACTTCCACCACACTCACCTCTCTTCCATCTGGAAGAATAATAATACAACCAAAGGAGAGCCTTCAAACTGTCTCAGCTGATACTTGAATTTCCTGTATGTAATAAGTATCAGTCTATAATGTAAAAAGCTAAGCAGTGTTCTAGCTTCTACTAAAATGTTTTTAGAGAAAAAAAAAAAATCAGTGTCTTCAAAACAGGTCTATCTACTCCACCTTTGGACAACTTATATCTGTCCCCCTAAATTTTCTGCGTTTGTTCTTAGGTATGTTTGTGTTCCTCTTTAAGCATATTGCCCAGGAATAAACAATATTCCTTAAAAATACATCTGTCCTTTCTTCTTCTCTAACAGCACCTTGTGCTAACAGGTTTGTGGCGACCTTGAAGCTATTTTCTCCTAATTGCACTTATATTCAGTTAAGACCCTGAAATCTTCTTTTCAAATGTGTGTTGGTACTAAATGACATCTCCGTCTTGAATTAGTGTGGCTATTTTTGATACCTGTGGTCGAGTTCCCTAATACTTGTCCATATAGTTTGCATCTTGGTGTGTTTGGCTTTATTAAATAGCTGTGAACCTAACTGGTCACTCATATGCCTGGATTCAGTTTCTTGTGAGTTCTTCCGGCATACTTTATTCCTGTTGTAACACTCAGCTCATTCTGCTTTGGGTTGTCGTTTATGGATTTGTATGATGTCCCTGTTTTAGGTGGGGTTCCTGAGAAGCAGATCCTCTGTCTGGGGGATCAAGCAGTGACTCTGTAGCTTCCCAGACTTGCTGGCTTCTGTTGGGTCAACACCTGTTTTCTGGAACAGGTGGGCAGCTAAGAGTTGTTCTCAGCCAACACAGAGCATCTAAGAAAAACATGCTCAGGCTGGTGGAAGGGATCAGAGGGGACCCAGCAGCATCCACTAGAGTCAGCCATGATTTTGGTCTTAAGGATGGAAACTCCTATTGCTTATTTTGGTAAGCTCTATAAGCCTGGCCCCATGTCTTGCCCCATAAAGGTGTTAGTTTGTGGACTTGAATCATCAAAGATCGGGAGTAAATATCCTCCAGTGTGTACCCATTCCAGTCCACTGCCATTTGTAATAACAGATAGCAGTAAGGAACTTAGCCACACTCCCCTCTGCAGAGCAGCACAAAACCGAACTGTGCGAGCAACAGGGAGAAGGATATGGAAGTTCATGTTGCACGTTCCAAGAATCTAGTTGGCCTGTCAGTACAAAAGCTATCTAAGGACCAAAGGCTTAAATTCAGAAGAGGCAAATAACTTCTTAAGCCCGAGGAAACATATCAAAGAGCAGACTTTCGGTCTGCTCCACTCAGCTCTGGAAATATTTTTGTTTTTTAAAAATTTTATTGAAGTAATAGGAGCATATTGGCCAAACATAAAAACGGTATAAATGGGTAATAAGTGAATAGTAAAGTCTATCTTTCCATCAGCTTGGCTTTTATTTCCACTCCCAAGAGCTAACTGCTGTTAACATAATCTTATGTTCCTATCCGTAAATGGTTGTATATATGCAAGCCTATGTGTTTATGATTTAGATACAAAAGATTACAGTATGTGCACTTCTCTCTACCATTTTTAAACTAATAATAGATCTTGTAGGTCTTTCTTCATCAACACATCTAAATCTATCTCATTTCTAAAAATGACTATAGATGTCTTACAATTTATTATTTTTATGATGGACATTTAGGTTGGCCCTAGTTTTCAGCTCTTACAGAGGGTATTTTTGCTCTTACAAGTTCTTTCCATGCAAAATAAGTATCCTTTATGTGAGGGGTTTTTGTTGTTGTTGTTCATTTGTTTGTTTCTTTGCATATATGTTTTCTCACCACCCTTAACTTGAAAAGCCTCTTCTTAATTCTGAATAGGGGCGTGGTTAGAGAACATGGTGACCAGAACCCCTGCTTCTGTATCGAACAATTATGTGTCTTTAATCCCTATGCTTTCTCCTCCTCTGTCCGTTTGTCTTTCAGCCTCTTCACCAGAATGCATCTTAAAGTCAGAAAAGATAAAAGTTGCCATCATTGAAAAAAGCTGAAATTAATTCTCAAGTTCAGGTCATTGTAATAGCAAGTTGTAAATACCACTTTGGGGGGAGCTGGGTGGCTCAGTGGGTTAAGCCTCTGCCTTCGGCTCAGGTCATGATCTCAGGGTCCTGGAATCGAGTCCCGCATCGGGCTCTCTGCTCGGCAGGGGAGTCTGCTTCCCCCCACCTCTCTCTCTCTCTCTCTCTGCCTACTTGTGATCCCTCTCTGTTAAATAAATAAATAAAATCTTTTAAAAACAAATAAATAAATAAATAAATGAATACCACATTGGTATAGAATTTAAATAACAGAAAAACTGTTTTGAGAGGAAAAGAACTTGTGAGTCTTGTTCAGAATTTAAGAGGTTGGGTATCAGGAGCTCGTCTAATGCAAGTTTCAGAAACGCAATCAGACTTTCCAGAAGTTCACCCTGACACACTTTAAAAGCACTGTTGTTGTCCCTTTCCTTGCAGTGAAATACATGCGAGAAGCCACACCCTATGTGAAGAAGGGCTCCCCAGTGTCGGAGATTGGCTGGGAAACGCCTCCGCCCGAATCCCCTCGCCTAGGGGCCGTGTCCTCAGACGCCCAGTCAGCCGCACAGCCCTCCTCCTTCCACAGAGATCGGAAGAACATCCCCCTCAAGATGTGCTTTGTCACCCGGAGTCTGGCCTCTGCTGACCCTGAGAACAGGTAAAGAAGGCCAGGGGTCTCCGGGTCTCAGCCACAGGGCGGCCGCTGAGGGTGTGAGGGCCGTGCTCGTGTTCTCCAGACACTCAGCAGGTCCCAGAGAAAAGCCTGAAAGGGCCCCGCCGAGATCACGTGTTATGTTCAAGCTGCGGCCGGCCTCCCTCTCTTCCTCCATCCTCCTTCCTTCCTTTTATCCTCATGACTCATCTGTGTGCTGAGCTTTGCTTCTGGGAAGAGTTAAGAATTGGAGTCAGGATCCTAAGTTTGTCTTCCCTGGTTGCTAGTGTAGGTGACTTTGGGTCAGTTTGGCAAACCAGTGACCCTGTTCTGTCATCTGTGAAATGGGAATTGTTGAAATAGATACCTCACTGAGTCAGAAATCCATGTGAAGTGCTTACTGCAGGAAAACCTTCACGAATATAAGGTAATAATATTTATTATTGTCAGGTAGTAGTAAGCGCGTCAGCCCCCCTGGACCTCAGCGCCCTCAGCTGTGTACTCGGAAGTTTCCATGAGAGGATCCTTAACGCCGTTTTCTGCTCTAAACCTCTCTTTTGCTCAAGAGAGAAAAAGGAGTGGCTTTGATCCAACCCTGGAGTGATGTTTCTCGAAGTCCGCACATGATTTCTCACACCATGGGAGAGATACATCACCTAGTTTGTGGTGATTATAAAAAGTTTAGCGAGACAAGCAAATATTTGGGGTCCCGGTTCCCCTAGATATCTTACTTTAGCTCCTTGGAACAAGAAAACATCTATATGGGAGGAAAAATAAGAGATATGTGGAGGAGAGGGAGCGGCATTGAGCCAGCGAATGGGGAATCTTGGAGCTCTTGGCATCTGCATTCAAGTGCTAAAAATAGGGACAGCTCCACTGGCCCTTATTTGTAACATGTGTGGGACAGCTGCAACCCACCCGAGCAGGATGTCGTTGGCTCCGTTCTGAGTCGCTGATGGGGAAAAGCCAAAGGGAATAGGGACAGGAAGGAAGTTACCTTCTTGGCTCAGAGCTCAGAGCTTTTTTTTGCTCTCTTCCTAATAAGCTCGCTCTGAGGAAGCTGCTAGCCTTTCTGACTACAGTGGCTGCAGGATCTAGCCTGCTCCCCTCCCATACCAGTTATATCTGCCCAGGGATCAGAGCTGCGGTTGCAGGAGAGAGAGGGGAGTGTCAGCCCAAGATGAGTCAGAGCAGGCAGACTGGAAAGGATTCTGCCGAATTCTGCCATGAACTACTCCAACCTGCTCTGTTTTGTCCTGCCCGGTTTCTGCTGATGTCCTGGGCCTGCAGCTGGATGTTCTGGTCACTCTGGGCCTGATCTTTCCTGGTCTCCAGGCTACCCAATCAGACAAGTCCTTTCTTCCAAGAATCTGATGTCTAAGGTGTCTAAGATCTGGTGCATTCATAATTTACCGAGTACCTATCTCGTGCTGGGCATTATGCTAATTGCTTCAGACTAGAGGCTGCCAAATGGCTGCTGACAGGTGTACCCAGCCCACAGATATGGCCTGTCCGGTGTTTTAAAGAAATTGGAATTACTTACCACATCGAATCATTGGGAAGTTTCACATGAGAAAGCCAGATTTCTGCTTTTCTAGAACCATGGAAAGATCTGGTGAGATTATTTGGCCCATGTTGCTGCAGGCTGGAGCCCAGTAGAGGCTTCTCCTTGTATAGGGGGATGGACTCTCCTTGTCGCTCCTATTGCTGTACCCTTCCTTGGTTGGTTGGGGGAGGGGAGACGGATTCTATTAGCTACCTGCCTGCCTCTTCACATCTCCTGTCCAGTCCTTGAATCTGTGACCCCTTTGACCCTCTTAATGGCCCTCTGAGTTTCGCTTTGTCCCTATTCTGTAGATAAAAAAATAGAGGCTCAGCTCTTATGTAAGTTCCAAACATCCTAGACCTAATACGTGGTTTTCCTGGGTTTCAAATGCAGGCCTGTAGTGTGGGTGAGAGTGTCAGCTTGCCAATACCAGAAAAGTGCAGAGACTAGAAAATGTGGAATATTGCAGAAAAGATTCATGCCTGGGGAGAGAGTTTAAGTCAATGATTTCTAGGCTGTGGACTGTATGCTATAACTAAGGCATTGAATTGTGTTTAAAGAATATTCTGTTTGAAAGAATATTCTGGGAGACATCAGGTCTGGGCTCAAACATTGGAGACTTCCATCTATTAAGCCAGAAGAAGGAATGTATTTTTTTTTTTTTTTAAAGATTTTATTTATTTATTTGACAGAGAGAAATCACAAGTAGGCAGAGAGGCAGGCAGAGAGAGAGGAGGAAGCAGGCTCCCTGCTGAGCAGAAAGCCCGATGTGGGGCTTGAACCCAGGACCTGGGATCATGACCTGAGCTGAAGGCAGCGGCCTAACCCACTGAGCCACCCAGGCGCCCCAGAAGGAATGTATTTTTAAAGTGTTATATCCGTGGTCTTCGAGGCCACCATTGATGGGAGGTATGGAGGGCCCTCTCCTGCCAGGGTGTGAGAACCACAGGGCAGGACTGAAGATGGGAATCCAGCTAAACCAGAGCGTCCGAAGGGGACTTGCATCCGGACAGACCCAGAACTGCGGATAATGAGACTGACCTCTGACAGTGTACACATGGATCAAATCACCATGCTGTCCACTTTAAAGATCTTAACATTTTGTTAATTATACCTCAGTTAAGCCGGGGACCGGGTGAGAAAAGAGCATGGTTTTAGGTGAGTCTTGACCCTGGTTGAGGAAGAGAAGAAAGGAAAAAGGAAACAAATATTTTATGGAACTCTGGTTACATGCTGGGCCAAGTACAATGTACCCGTCAGGAAGGCGGACTCTGCAAAACCCGACTCGGGGCTGAGCCCAGGACACGCCTAGCACAAAGTGGTTTTAAAAGGCGAAAACCAAAGAGATGGGCAAAGTGTACAAGGCAAATGAAAACTAACAACGCTGACAAAAGGTACCAGTTTTGATCTGGATACATGATATTGTAAAATGCAGACTGAAAGCACGAAACAGGACAAAGGACAGGTTGCTGGTAAAGGCCAGGGTGCACGAGGAACATTGACCACTTGTGAATGTGCACCAGATAACCCAGCAGTGGCCTTTGCAGCGGAAACTATAGAAGATGCAAGACGAAATAGAAATGTACTAATAGCAGGTAATTCAACACACTCTCCGTCCAAGTGGACAGAAGGTCAGTGAAGATACAAAAGACCCAAACAACATAATTAATAAGGGAGATAAGGATACCTCACAAACTTTGTACACTGATAACAAAGAATACATTTTCCTTTCAAATCCCAGACAGACCATTGACGAAATTAACTATAGATTAGCTCACCAAAAAATGCAATAAATTTCCTGAGTTGGAATACTGTAAACAGCATTCTCTGAGGATAGTGGAATCAAAGGAGAAAATTATTTGCAAAACCAAGGCACAGAAAGCCTTTCTTCTTGGATTTTTAAAAGCTCTTTGTGAAATATCTCTTGGGCCAAAGGAGAGATAGAAACTGAAATTGTAACATTTCTTAAAAGCTGAAAATAATGCATATGTTAACCATGAAAGAGAAAGAAGGAGAAAGGAAGAGTCGACTCTGCAGTCAGCCTAATCCACGAAGGAATCGGGGTTCTGCCACTTATGTGTGAATTTAAGCAACTCTCTCATTCAGTCTAAGTAATGACCCTGGGTTGTAGGTACTCTAATCTCTATCTTATAGACAATGAAATTTAGTTCAGAAATGAGAGCTGAAACAGACGGTAGATCTAGTGTTGCAGGCCACGGCACGGTTGGAGTCGAGGATCAAACCAGGCCCTGACTTGTGTCTCCTTCAAAGTCCGGACACCTTGACAAGGTTAAGGATGGGAAAGTTGAGTACACTGTGAAAAGGGTCTGTGCTATGTGTCGTGCGCTCGCCTACGTGACTTCCCACACACTCCCCCGACTGAAGGGAACAATGTGGTCAGAGTCATGAATTCTTAGTCGGTCCTTGTTGTTCTGTACCTCCCATAACCCACTCCCTGGTTGATTGTCTTGCTAATGGCTTTAGCCGAAACTACCTGACATCACGAGGTTTGCTTGTAGTTAATGTAAACTTATTATAGAAACTTGGGTCATCTGACTAGGTACCGATGTATTACTCCTCCTATTCTGGTCTGCCTTATAAATGATTGTAAGATGTGGAATAAATTCGGCACTGTTGGACATCCTCCTCAGTGTCCCTCCTGCCCCCATCTCTTTGTCTCTTAATTTCTTTTCACCATCCTCTTAGCCCTCACGTTTTCCTGCCCGATTTGTCGCGCTGGCCGTGACAATCTAGGGTTCCAACAGGAAGCCCGGATTCTTAGTCATTATACCCTAGTTCCCTGTGACTTCAGCACCTGGCAGAACGGCTCACCTGAACCATAGGGACAATGGCCAGGACTTAATGGGCTCCTGGACGCTAAAACCTGAGCACTGATGACAAAGTGCCGCAGCATCTTGGGGCTAATTCCCTTGGCTGGTGACACACAGCTGCTTAGAGTTTGCATTAAAAACTCCAGTATTCAATTTCCCAAATAGAAACAGCCATAGAACAGCAGGCAGGATTGCTGCTCTTTCTATGGAAAAGGTCACCCAGCAGGCACCGAATCCACAAAAATATGTCACTGCTAGTGGTTGTCAATGATTACAACACTTTTAAAAAAATTCTGCTTCATAAATACCTCGTTGTTCATATTCAGCTCTTTGCTGCCCTAGTCCAGGGCTATATCCCCCATTCTGTAGACTCTTTGGACCTATTCCCTACCAGGCGCTTCCTTTCTAACTTGCCTCTTCCCCATCCTCTACCATCTACCCTACACCCAGCTAGCCAAGGGGGTTTGAAACACTCAAGAGTTATCCATTTGCTCAAGACAGCTCCCTGTCCCCTTCACTAATCTCAAAACTCGCCAGTATTACATAAAAACCTTATGAGGATCTAGATTTTCCCTAAGTGTCCAGTTCTACCCAGGTCATCATTTATGCCCCAGCCACCCTTAAATAAT